TATGATCATTTTATATATCTTCTTTCTATTTCTCATGATATCATTTAGTTCTCTTATTGATATCACTGTTATTATTATTATTATTATCATTATCACTATCATTGATATCATAATATAATATTCTTAATGTTTGTTATCATTATCATCATTGTTATTATTAATATTGTTATTAATTTTATTAACATTATTGTTAGTATTTTTAACACTAGATGGATTAGGAGGATTAAAAGTATAATGTTCAAATATATTCCATAGGAAAGGCAACATTTTTTTGATTTAATTATAATTTTCTTTAACTAATAGTTTTTTTTTTTCTTTTTTGAAAAAAGAGATTTTCTTGAAGTATCAAAATTTAAGAAAGGGAAAAAAGAGTGATTTTATTGTCATCGTTTTATTTTATTTTATTTTTATTTTTATTTTTTTTTTTTGAAAGATTTATTATTTACAATATCATCAGTTGCGGAAACATATAACAACATCTCCTTGTTCCTTTTTTTTTTTAAATTCTTACAATGATAAATCAAGAGCAAAGCAAAGAAAAAAGAGAGAAAGAGAGAGAGGGAGAGAGAGAGGGAGAGAGAGGGATCGAAAAAAAACGAAATGAAATGAAAGGATTTTGTCAGATTTGATTGTAATTGTTCGTTCTAAACTGATCATTTATCATTTTATTTTCATTCTATTTTCTTTTATGCATATATTTTATTTATATAAATTCTAAAATGCTATAATTGTTTTAATAAATAGTGTTAACAAAATAATAAAAGAGTAGAAAATAAAAAATAAAAACTAACAGTTTTAAGAATTAACAAATTTAAAATAGGAAGCAAAAAAAGAAAAAAAAAAAGAAAGAAAGATAAATTTTGAAAAGTAATTATAATATTTCTCACTTTTTTTACAAACAAAAAAAAAAAAAAACTGAGAAAACCTATTGTAGAATTAATTTATAACCAAAAAAAGTATGTAAATAAAAACGATGACGTAAACTAAAAAGAGAAATGATAAATTTGAATTATTTTTATAATACCTTAGAGTATTACTTTATTTTTAGCTCTAAAAACGACGAATAATAATAGTTGAGAAGAAGAGAAAGAGTGAAAGAAAGAAAGAAAAGAATGGGAAAAGAGAGAAAACTTTTAATGTTAATAATAAAAATATAAAATTTATTCGTTTTCTCATTTCATCGTTTCATTTTTAATATATAGCATAAATGATTAATTTATTATGCAAATTAATAATATAACATGCAAAAGTGAGAATATTTAATGAATTTATAACTTACTTCATCGTTATCTAATTCTTCTAGCAAAATATTTTAATGTTGAATGTTGAATTAAATTAAAATTTTTAAATCATTTTTTTTTCTTCATGAACTTGCTATTTGAATATTTATTTTTTCTAAAAAATTTTCTCCTTATTCAAATTTCAAATTTTCTTTTGCATAAAAAAAAAAAAAGGAATAAATTATTTTTTTTCTTTTGATTTGATGTACTTTTTCAAGCGAACTTGATGATCAATGTGTGTTGTATATAATTAAATAAAAAAAAATTTTAGAAAAATTTTTCATAAAATACTGATTGCATCTAACTATTTCTAATCATTTAGAGTCAATAAAAAGTGTGAAATTATTTTTTTATTAAAACTTAAATGAAAGCAAACTGTGAATATTTTTATTGTTTGCCTAATCGAATTTATTTTAATTTAACCAACATTAATTCTTTTGTTTTAATTACATTCAATTGTATTTTCTTGTCGACAATTTTTATTTTTATTTTTTATTTTTTGTTTTTTTCCACTGCTTAATAAAAAAATACTTTAATTTTATAAAGAATAAATGTATCCTCAAATTTTGGTAGTTTAATTAAGCAATGTTTCAAGTTTTCTATTTCAAATTTTGTTTAACAAATTTTTATTTGTGACGTTTACAATATTTCAACTTTTTTTTTGGATTAAAAAATTATTACTTTTTCAGATATAATATATCTGATATTTTAATAAGCTACTAATAACTCTAAGTAATTATTAATTATGTTAAATTTTAAGCTAAATGCATCAAGAAATATAACAATTTCAATTTATCGCTTTTAAAAAAAAAAAAAAAAAAAAAATAATTTTGTATTGGAAAATTAATTTTAATGCTATTGCATAATGGCATTCGTTTTAAAGCGGAAACATCCGCAATTTTCATACATTTTCGTTTTACATTTCCTTCTATTCCCATTAAACCTATTTTATCGTACATTATTAAACAGATTAATCATAGCGTTACAAATTTACACAAATGTAAATTTCAATTTCTTTACTTATTTCTTTTAATTAATTATTTGATCGCAAACATTTAAAATAATTTTTCATTTCTTGTTCATTTATTACCTAATTATATGAGTATAAAATTTACATTATCATTTAATTGATCATCTACTTCATGTAGCACAATCAAATATGTTAGAAGAAAAATGTATGAATTTAATTTCTATAAAAAATAATAATAATTTAAAATCAATATGCTTTCTATTTAAGGTGTAATTTTGATAAATTAAAATAAATGATAAATGTGATAAATTTATACAAATAAATATGATAAACTAGGAGTAAGTCAATAACTTTAACAAAATTAGACATTCCAAATTTGTGGAGACAAGACTTATTACTGGAACTGGATGTTTTTAATATCAACAAGACAAACTTGATAAATCATTATTAAATGATAGTTTTAAGAAATTTTATGTTATCACTGTGTTTGAATGTTTTTGATAATTTTAATAAAATAGACACAATAAATTATTTACATGATTTCATATTATTAACGATATCATAATTGCAATAATATTACATTTGTAAAAAATGGAAAAGATATGATAAAATGATAGGAAAAGAAGGAAAGGATAGAAATTAAAAGGAAGGAAATATTTTGGAAATATTAAATAATAAACAGGTATTATTATATAGCTTTAATAGGTATTATTATATAGTTTCAATCTTTCAAATCAATCATTTTTATGAAATTATTTCATTTAAGCTAAAAAATTTTCACTGCTAATTTTTACTCCCTTTCATTTTCCATATTTTAATTTTTAATGCTTAAAAATTTTCCATTAGCAGTGTTACTTTTAATAACATTTTTTTATGAATAATGCAAGAATTATTTCAGAAAATAAAAAATAAAAAAAAAATTTTTTTTTTTTAATGAAATTTTGTTTTCTAAGTATAGCAATTATAATTATTAAATCAAAAATGTTTTAAAAAATCAAAAGACTAACTTAATTTAGTCGTAAAATTTTATTTACTTGTTGGTTTTATTGATTGGTAACTGTAAATGACAAATTGATAATTTGTATAATATTAGGAAATCATTTACTGTCTCATTAATTCGTTTAATCCTCAATTACTGTACTACTTCTAAGCTAATAACGATTATTTTTTGATCATTTATATTCAACTATTATTCCCATTTAAATTTTAAATTCAAAAAATAACAATGAAAAAGAGAAAAGAAAAGAATTTATCAAATTGCTCTTTAATCCGTAATTTCCATTAAAAATGTATGTCGACATTTTCGATCTTATTTTTTCCTTTGTTTTTTTCCTTGAAATGTCTTAAAGAAATATTCAATTAATTCCAGCAAGATATTTAATTCTCTTTTTGTTGATTTTTTCCTTTTTTTTTGCTAAAAAATTTGTAAATAGAAAAGAAAAATTCCTTTTCTAATATTTTAACTTTCATCTATTTTTGATTTTTTTTTTTTTTTTTTGCAACAATAACAACGAATATATATATATATATATTTTAATTTTAACTTTTTTTTTCATTTTCTTATTACTTTTATAATTTATTAACATTTCTATACATTATAATACGAATATTTTTTTATAAGAATTTAACAGTAATTTTTTTTTATTTTCATCTTTTTTTTCAATTCTTTTTAAATAAGTTCTTTTTTTTTTTTTTGGAAAAACAAAAAACAAGATGTGTTTTTTAAAAAAAAAAAGATTTATCAAAATTATCATATTTTTACATTATCAATTAATATTTGATAAAAAAATTTCATTAAAAAATAAGAAGAAAAAACGAATGAAAAACGAAAACCGAAAAAAAAAAGAAGAAATGATTAATTAAAATTATGTTTACATACAATTTATTAATTATCTTTTATGACACTTTCTTTTTTTTCCTGATTAATTTTGCTGAACTTTCTATAATTATACATTATTCGAAATTAATTTTAATTTGAAAAATGAGAAGATGAAAAAAAAAAAAAAAGAAAAAACAAAAAGAGCAAAATGATATTAAAAAGGAATAGTTGAAACATTGAAATGCTTTTAATGTGAGAAAGCACTTTTGAAATAATACGAAATGACTGAATGACAATTGAAGTAAACAAAATTGACCATAGCATTTCTCTCTTTTTTTCTTCTTTTTTACTAATAACACTAAGTATAGCAAAAATTTTTTTTTTCATTTTTATTAAATCTATCATTTTTTGCATTCTTTTTTGCTTTTATTTTACTTTTTCCTCGTTTTCTTCCTTTTCTTTTTTTTTATTTGAGATAATCATAATAACTTATTAAATTTCCTTTTTTTTTTTTTTTGTTTTAAATTTTTTTATTAAGTATTACAAAAGAAAAAAGGAAACGAAAAGATAAAAGTTAAAAAAAAGAAAAAAAAGAAAAAGGAAGAAAGAATCAAATGAAATATCATTGCATTATTTACATATATTTAACGAAAATAAATGATAAATCAATAAAAATAGAAAAATTAAATTCCTTTTTCTTTTTCCGAAATAATTTTCGACAATTTTTCGAAATATTATTACCATATTAAGTAAGTTTTATTGCAATATTTGATGAATGGTTATAATTTAATTGAAAAAAAATTTTTTTTTTTTTTTCTGCATATTTAGAAATAAATGAATAAATATTAATTGCTGATAATTCAAAAAAAAAAAAACTTATTATTTAAAAGAGAAATTTAAAAAAATTTATTTAAGAGAGAAAATTTTGTAGATGAAAAAACAGCGAATAACATGTGATACAGAAATTCCAATATCAACAAGTAATGGCGACAAATTTAATAATTATTGTAGTCGAACATATCGTAATTATAGTCTACCACGTAATGTAGCTATAACTAATGATAATGATAAGCAATATGATAAGCCAAAGAAAGGAGTTGATGATTTATCAATGGAAATTACTGGTTCATCGCAGGAAACAACAATTAATTGTGTATACAATAATGAATTAAATAATAAATGTTACTCGAATATTCGTAATTATGACGTACCGAAGGATACCATTAACAGTAATATTTTGGAAAGGTAATCATTTCTTGTCTTTTAATTTAATTTAAATACCTCAAATAATTCATTAAATATTTCATTTCATCCATTTATTTCAACAAAAGTTGATCAGTTATCATCAACCATTTTTGTTAATAATAGTAAATATATATGACTGAATATAATTACCAAAAAATGATAAATAATATCAACTCAAAATGATAATATGACAGAATTTAATAGAAATTTTTTTCAAATTATTTCGAACGATTAATCAAAATATTTGGGTTTATTTGTTAATTAAACATAATCAGAAGAATGTTATTTTCAGATTTTCTTCTTACAACTTTTTTCAATTCTCAATTTGAAATGGTTACGTATACAAATAATAAAATATTGATTTAGAAAGAGAAAAAAGTAAAATCAAAGAGAGTATACTGATTTAAGAAAAAATAAATTAAAACTAAATAATTGTTCAACATTTAACAAAAGGAAATAAAACAAAACTAAAAAAAAAGAACCTTATTATTTGTTTTATCAAAAAAAAAAAAAAAAAATAGATGTTCAAGAAAGGGAATATGTAGAAAGAATAATTAAGCGATAAGTCTAAGAGGAATTTTACGAGAATCACAAAATTTGTAAACTATATTTGAATAATTAATTTAATTATTCGTTTTATCAAATAAATCATGACATTTCTTATTTTCAAAAAATGAAAGAATAAAAATTGAACTCTTTCAGAAAAAATTACTTTCTTTTTTAAATTTCAACAATCAGCCAAATACGCAGCTAAATTTAAATGTAAATAAGTGTTTTGTTGATTTCCTTGTAAAATTTTGATAACTTCAAAGTTTTATATTTCAGTGGATCTCAACCGGTACAACCAATGAAACAACCATTACTTCATGGCCATCATCAAAAGCAATCCGATTCACAAAAAGCATCAACTAGACCACCACCTCCAACTATTGTCCTCAGGTAAATTAATTACTTTCATATAGAAACTTTTATTATTACAACTATGCTTCATAATAAAACATTTCCAGATGAAATATATAAGCTATTCAATGTTTTTCCTATTAATTAAATTTAAAATTAGACTAACAACATGAAATAATCGTAAATTCATTTTAATCTAAAGTTTTCGGATTAAAATAATCCCTCATTTCCTCTTTTTGCTATCAATTTATGCTATTTTTTCTTCTTCTAGTCCACCGGATGACGCATCGCCTGGAAAAGTGAAAGTAATTTTTGAATATGACAATGAAAAGTATACGATACAACCAAATTTCCTGATTCGATATAAAAGGATTATATTATCTGTTGCTGTATCATTATTGATCTTTTCCTTATTAATATTTGTTATATTGGTCATTTATATTGCGCATCGAAAGAGGTTATAAAGAACTGCCTATCATTTATTACCACTTGTGAACAAATATAAGAATATAAAAGTTGAGAATATAACCGTAACACATTAGTACCGGTAAAATATAAATAAATAACGAATAGGAGATTTGAAAAAAATCAAATTAAATCGATATAATAGACAACTTGTACAATCATGATTACAAACTTTAATAATTTGATTTTGTAATAATGTGCTCTTTTTGCATATATGCAAATCGAAGAATTTTAAATTGAAACGACTCATGTAATTGAATACACTTTCACATTACATCATATTTTCTAAAATAAATAAATAAATTATAAGTTGTAGGTGGAGGATTACATCACAGAAATGAAATATTCATCACATAACAAAATTTTCACAAAACGCTTGTGACATAATTGAATGACAAAAAACATCACTAAAAAATGAATGAAAAACGGGCGTAAATTAAATCAATATCACTTGTATTAGTTATTAGATAATATCGGCCTTTAAAAACAATATCCTTTTTCATCAGTGCTAGCATTGTAGTATGCTAATCCGAATTTTTAAAAGCAATTTTTCAACAATATGAGAAAAAATTTGCCAAAATGTCCATCTCCTTAATTCCAATTTGCTCTTGCAGTTCTTCAACTTTCTCCGCAAGCTGATCACGAAGTAAAACCTATAATACTCTTTTCATTTCAACAACTTTTCTATTCAAATAAATCGTCTGCAATTTCAATTCCTTACATCTTTTTAGCTTCGTGGTAGGATAATTAATTTCCAACCAAAATATAATTAATGAACTTTTCAGGCATTAATGCCTTCATGATAGTTTTCGAGAGATACATATGTGTAAATGAGATGCTAATTTAATTGCACATTTTAAAATAATTTCTTGTCAGTACATAAATTTATTTCCTAATAATTTCTTGTCAGTACATAAATTTATTTCCTAATTAATATAATTGTTGAGTCCAACAATCAAACAAAACAAATGTAAATCACTGAATGTTTACTAGCTCATTTTTCTGTTTTGGTTAAATTAATGGTCAAAGCCTTCAAATGATGTTATTTTGCACCTCCTAATTTCTTGTAACATTCATATCTTGTTATAATCAATAAAAATTTATGGAAGTACCTTTGCACTCCTGATGATTGCATTAGCTTGTCGTCTATTAAGATGATCTATAGTAGATAGCAATACCAATGGATCTGTTGAAGCAATTGAACCAATCGTTTTGAAACCTTAAAATTGATAAACTAGTGAAATCCTATTAGCGGTTCTACTATGACTCATTGCCTGCCATACTTGCATCGGCAGTGTTTTTGACTTCATTTTCTGTTTAAGTTTTAAAAAAAAAAAACATGAGTACTAATCAAGATGAACTTTCCAATTCAAATAAATTGATATCACTGATCCAAATTATGACTTCCTTTTAAATAAAAAATCGTATTGTTTTAATACCAGCATTATAAAGTTGTCGAGCTCGTCCTCTTTTAACACCATCCAACGCAAGTAATGGAATCAACTCCTGCTGTGAACAATCTCGCAAATGCTGTACCAAATCAGGCAATAAATTTTTCAACGACCAGAAAGACGGCAATTTCTGCAAATGTTATCAAATATGGTGATTTTATTATTTGATCCTTCAATACTTCCAAACAAAAATGTCACTTTTACTTCTGAAAAACGCGTGATTGAAGATGCCTGTGAACAAGTTGCTTGCAGGACATTCTGAAGCCAACCACGAGACACGTGAAAACGTTCCGCAACATCAAAAAACGTTTCCTGCTTCCACAGTCGGTGCAACATGAATGAAATATAAAGACGTAATGGCGATTCACCTTCATTCTGCAATTTTTATCGACTGATGTTGTTAATTTCAGTATCTTGTACGTAGAGCCACCATCAAAAACATAACATCAAAGGATCAAGAGATCGTTGTGTGATATGCTAATCAGATCTAAGGATCGTTTCACAACCAGCAGCTAATCCAATTAATTATTAGGCATTAGATGAGAAATAGAAGAAAGAAATGCTCTTAGACGAACCAAGATTTTGAAATTAACAGGAAGTAAGATAGCTCGGACCATTTTCCCAAGAAATATCTGTGGCAAATTAATACAAAGGCAATTAAATACTTTTGCAATTTTAAAATTTTAATAACATTAAAAACTTACTAATTTTGGTTGATCAATAAAACACCGCACCAATTGCTTATCATTCACTCCCAATCGTGCAAGCAAAGCTTGCTCAGATCTTGGCAAGGCTTTATACTGAAATGAACAAATTTTTGTAAGGAATCAAGTAATGTATAATCTTCAAACAGGAATCAAGTAATGTATAATCTTCAAACATTAATTATCATGGACAATATATTTAAGCAAATAAAGTAATAATCAGATTTCGAATAAAACAATAATTACATTTCATATAAAGGAGACTGAAGAAGTAGAAATCATTTAGAGAACCCGAAATGGAACTAGAAAAGTATCACAATTATAGCCTCCAATGATTTGTGAAGAATTCAGAACCAGAAAATTACTTAAATATACCACAAAAAAATTACTGCACATATTGAGATATAACCTCTTCATAGAATATATTCCAATCAATATCAACGCTTATGTCGAACGGTACCATCATGAATAACAGATGAAAATGTGAAGATAATACAATACCCTGAAAAATATCACGTGCTCAATGAAAAAGATAAAAGTTAAAAACTTATATTTTCGAACACTACAAAATATGAATGGAGTGATCCGGACAGCTCTACTAGTCAGCGTCCCATTATTTAAGAAGCTCACCTATATTAAGCCGATGTAATTGCTACATACTCTAAGATGCATTATGTGCGAAGTGATTTAAATATTTAGCATGTCAAATCTAATCAAGTATCTGAATAATGAAATCAATTATCAAAATAACGTAATTTAGGTTGGAGGGACTGGAGAAAGCTAAAGTGAAACTATGCTTATGCTAGTGGTATTCCTAAATGTCGATATCTGAGTAAGTTAGTCTGTGCAATTTGAACTTAACATTTATATTATTCAATACATCTAACTGAACTTTTTAATTCAAATTATAAAGATTAATTCAATAATTTTAGCTGAAACTTTATCAAACATGTAGAAAGTAGAAAGATCTTACTTCTTTTATATTATTTGATAATAATGTGCACATCTGCCGTGCTACCAGTGGTGATAAGGGAGCCGAAAAGACTGCCATGCCAAAAAGTGAAGCCGAATAGTTCCCATTCTAAAATCAGTGCAACATATATTCACATACACACTAATGCTGAAATGAATTCCCAAACCAATTATTCACTCCATATTATCTCAAGTATCATAGAATCAAGTATCAAAATGATCTTACCCCATCAACACTTACTAAATCGTGATTTATTAGATATTCCAACATTTCTCTTAATAGCTTCTCACTACCACTGTTTTGTATTCCAAATAATGTTTGTTGCACCAGAACTTCCAGCTCTTCCAACCGTTGCGCCACCTGGAAAGAGATTTTATGGAGAACACTTTTTTATTTGACACAGTTACAAACATTAAAGAATTCATCAGCTATGGCTAACAAGAAAAGCAAGCCATAAAATCCCTAACCTTCAATGAGATTAAATCGAGCAGAAATGATGAAAACACTGCTGGTTCATTCAATGAACTATTACATCGCGGCAGAGGCCCTTTGATCATGTCTAAAAACTAAAACAAAACATCAAAATCAAAGCCAAAAAAAAGTCAAAAATGCCTTCCTCTTTCTCATAGATTGATGTAAAAAAAAAAAAGGCCGAACTTAATAATAGAAGATCGCAATGATTACCATTTACTTAAAATGAATACAGCGATTTATCATCTTATGCTTTTAGAACAGTTATTGTCATACCCTTTTGCTTGCATAGAAAAGAAAAGAAAATTCACGGTTCGTCTAAAGAATTCCGGAATATTACTAGGGTTTCCACTGAAAAGTTCATTTAAAATATACTATCAGCTGACTTTACTTTCCTCATAACTAGAGCGTACGACTGTAACTGCTTCTCCCATATCATCATAGCCAGCTCGACCAGCACGACCAATCATTTGAAGATATTGCGCTTTACGAAGTGATTCTTTACCAACCAATGGAGCATTGATTATCACTCGTCGGGCCGGAAGATTAACTCCCGCCGCCAAAGTAGAAGTACAGCAAATTATACTAATAATTCCATCCTCCAAGTATTACAATTGTAACTTGTTAAGTCCGGAATAAATTGTAATATATCTATACTTTTTTTCCTTTTTATAAGAATTTAAAGCTTAATTTAAGTCTGGAATAAAGCAAAACTCCTATTAGACAGTTCAAATTGAACTGAAACTTCATTTTTCATTCTGCTGTAAAAGCTGAACAAGAAATACAATCACCTGATAAGCACCCTCAATAATCTTTCTTTCGTCGGCTGTTAAACCACTATGATGATAAGCAACACCACGAGTGATGCTTAGTTCTAGCAAAGAAGGGAACTCGCCATCTTCTTCATTTTTCAGTGCTTTTACTATAGCCAGTCTTTCGGTTTTTTTACGTTCTCGAAAACTCCTAAATTTACAAACTCATAGAAATATTTTGGTATATATTATATATTTTTTTATATTATATATTCAAAATGTTTTTTTTTTTTTCTTGGAGAATTGTTTTTTTTTTTTTGGTCATTTTGGAAAACTGCTAATTTCTGATCTTAAGCTAGTGAACGCTGAAAAAGCAATTATTATATCTAGAAAATTGTCAGCATAGATTATAAATGTCTACGATAGAAAAAAACAAACAAACAAACAAACTTCGGCATCAGATATGAAAGCATTTTACAAACGTTTTCACAATTCTTTTTGGTGGGGCAAAAAATCAGAACAGACCGTCTTGGTACAATATCATATAACAAAGGTACTAATCCATCTGGATCACGATTTTTTAATTTCTGAAAAAAACCTAGTAGGCGTATCAACATGACTGAAATTAGAAGTTTGGTAAGAATGTATTAGCAACACATACATTTTCACCTAAATTCATCTCCAACTCCAATTCTCCACCTGGTTGTATGACATACAACGAGTTGTCGATTTTTACCTTCTCTATCAGTTTAACCTAAAAAGCATCTAGTAGTAAAAATTATAAATATTCCAATAATGAAGTAGCAAGCTATGCCCACCAGTCAATCGCATGTCCTTCGCGATTTATGGAATGCATTAAATTAAATTAAAATGAATTTTTTTCGTCGTTTTTTCTCGTCGCTAAATAGGTAAGCTACACGCCGAAACAAGTTTTCAAATTAATTTACACAAGTGCTGCACACTTACTGGACGAAATTTTGTTGAAAATACCGCTGCATTGAGAAATTTTGCTAGCTGTTCGACATTTGAAAGAGTTGCTGACATACCAACTATTTGACCAGTTCCTGAAATTTTAAATCGAATCATATTAAAATTCTTGTAAATCGAACTGATTCAATATATAGCCCCCTCATACGGTCAATTACATCTGTCTTCGCAAGTCGAAAACTATCGAATTTCCGTACATGATAACGCATCTTACACTTTCTGCAAGAATATCTACTCCTCCTTTCATAATACGATTGAATCAAATGAAAAAATAAACGAAACTCTGACCTTTTTGCATAAATTTAATCAGTCCTTGTTCAATAATTGCTCCTCGAATATTTTCTCCTATCATATGCAACTGAAATATCAGCTAATAGTAAGGAATATCATTTGATGGAAGTGATAAAAATTGAAGAACTAACCATCATTTTAGGTTGAAATATGTTTATCCTTATATTTCTCAAACCATGAGATAGTCACCTGTGTTCGAGAGTACGTTAATCAAACCAAAGTGATTAAAACATTGAAATCTACATAAACCAATAAAATATTGAAACATATGCCTTGGATCACTTACTACAAAGAAATTATTTTGATAAAAAACTGACTAGCAGCATATATGACTTACTTCATCAACTACTAGAACTCCAATTTCGTCTATGCGATCCACTTCTATCAAACTATTAATTAACAAGTTTGCTTTTTCAATAGTCGCAACATATACAGATTCTCTTTTTCGATGTTTGATTGGTGGTAAACGACCTGAAATATGCATCAATTTCAAACAGACCTCTGAAGTTACGCAACGCAGTATTTTAACTGAAATAACTAGTGTTGATAGTTCAGTTTTGTTATGGAACTACAACAAGGGAGCATTCTTTGTTTAGTTCTTTTTTCACTTTCTTCCTAAAATAGCTAATGATTGTTAATTTTTCTGTTAAAACAACTTCGTACTGCTAAGTATCTAAAATGAGATTTGTAAGCATAGTTGAAATGGTTTTAACCAATTCAACTGAATAAAACAGATCATTCAAAATATGCATTTTCTGCAGAGTGATCATACACAGCCTTTTTTAGAGCTTTTGAGCAAGAAATGATTTTGTCGAGTTATGAAATTTATATTCCATTTATAGTCTCAACTTTAAGAAGCCAAAGGAAAACCAAAATTTCCAACCTTTGCTTGCGGCATACTCCTCAATGCAAATATTAAACTTATCCTCGAAAAGCGACAATGAATACACCTAAATTAGTATGACCAATAAAGTATTGCAAATCTCAATAGAAATAAATATTTTTTTAATTCGAGTAATGAGATTTTTGATTTATTTGTAGACTGTTAAATGTATCCTACTCAAGTGTATTATTTTTCGATCTGTATAAGAACTTACTTTCTCCTGAGCGATTGCAACATATGGTACAACAAGAATACAACTCCTCCGTCGGTTAATTAATTCTCGTAGCATTACAATCTGAAATAATTTTTCTCTTAAGGTTTATAGTTATGATACTATCCGCAATTTATATTATTATTTGGTTATTAACAATCAATTCAGTCAACAGAATAATTTATGGCTAGCACATAAATGACTTTCTTAAAAATCAAGGATAATCAAGAACTCTAAAAAAACCCTCATGTATACAGAAAAAGGAGGAACCTCTGCAACAAGAGTTTTTCCTGCACCGGTTGTCATCGATAAAATCATATTTTTACCACTTATTAAATGTTCATCATTTAAGCACTGATTTTGCCAGTCTAGAAATAATGTATCCTGGATTAGAAAAAAAAATTAGAAACAAATGATTAAACAATGCTATGTAAATCATTAATAATTACAATTAAATTCTAGCCAGCTGTCGTTAAGTGCTACCTTAATTGCAAGCAAAAATCATGTACTCCATTAGAAAAACGATAAAGCAGCATGAGGAACAGCTCGAAAAATTATCATATGAACAGTAAAAAGAAATGACCACACACCGTAAAATTTTGAAATATTTCGCAAGTTCCTGTAAATCTCACAAATATTCTCCATTTCCCTGTACGCATTACTTTGAGACGTTCTAGCAGAAGACAAGCAATCGCAATTAGTTCTATTTTCCTCAAGAACTCCCTTGATTAAACAAATTACTGGAGAAAATAAGATGGACAAGATTATTATGCTATTCTATTTTAAGCAATTATTTCCTGTCTTTATACATTTGCTAAAAAAAAAAAAGATAGAAACAGCCTTTTATAAGTGGAAAATAAATTTACTTCCATTTCAACTTGTGCTTCAGTCGTATGAACAAAATTAACTACTTGTTTGCTTCATCTTCATTTTTCTTGTGTTTGATAAAGCAATACCTAAAATTATTACGTTAAACAGATTATGGAAATGCATATATTACAACATTATCATAACCGAATTTCAAATGCACTATACAACGAGCATAAACATAAGAGAAAAAGGAAGTAATAACTTCTGAGGTCCATGTCTTACTGCACATAAGCTGAAATCCATGAATACTTCAATAATTTGCTTTTGAATACTAATATGGAAATTTACTAAACTTTCTATTCATTTCAGAAAACAGTTTTAAGCAGAACCAACCGATGGATGTGGAGTTTTCTATATAAAAACTCCCTTAATTAAAAAAATAAGTTTAAATTCTAACAAATTAAGGAAAAAAACCTTGGCGATTTTCTCGGTGCTTCCAAATTTATTTTGGTAGAAATGTTATCGTTACTACCACTCAATAATTTCATTGATGTTTTCTTCATAATACCATAATTATCAGAAACAATTGATGAGGATTGAGCTTGAGGAGACATGATCAGTTTTTTCAGGAAAATTAATAAATTTAAGACGAATATACTGAAGAGAGGTACATATATATTTTCATTTATTTACTTATTCACATTTTTAGCTAATCATTTTTTTACTTTATTTCTGTGAAAAAATTATGAATGAATGACTGACTATCTTTACATTAAACTTCATTTTCCCTCTCTTCTTTACCTGTCAACTAAAACAGGATTCGTTTTCAGATCTGATATAAAGAAAAAGAAATGTCTAAAATGTGAATTGATATCACTTTTCCCTCTTCTTTTTCAATCTACGTATTTTAGAAAAAAAAAAAAATGTGTCACACTAAACGAAATATGTCACACATTTCTTGACTTTATCACTCTGTACATTATCTTCATTACTCTCAATCACTACCATAAATAATATAGCAATTCAATAACATACTCTCTCGATTCCAATCGATCTTTGCATTTCTTCACACATATCTCTATTATTCTTTACTCTTAAATTTATATACGACCACTATTATATTTAAAAAGTTTATTAATTCCTAGTAGTAGATATGCTCTTCAAGTCACGTCATCGCAACATTTCCCACGCTATTCCCTATTTTCAAATCTTTTATAAATTATTTTAAACACAAACACTCTACCGCTCATTCCCTTATTTAATTTTAATTGCGGTCCGTTAAAAATAACTCCACGTGAGGTAAATTTTGGACGACCACTTGTTTTTAGCAATGAAAATGCCTTTGTTTGGTTAACTAAGAATGCGACCTTATAGGTGCGTTGTGTACTTGTCAACTGGTTACTCACGTACGCAAGCGATTTGCTAATGTGTTCACGTAAACAGTTGAAGCATCTTGCTTGATATGGAAGTTTAATATGAATGTTTTAGTTAAAGTTTAAGTAATATGAAATTTTTGGTTAATAATAGGCCAAAAATTACAGATGAAAGTTTAAATATTTAACTGTTTGTTATGAACTTAGCCAGTTTTATATATGCCATTCTTGTTTCCTGGATATTTTTCTTTATAGTTTCAGATGACGTTCCTTCATTTTCTAAATTGTATAGCACTGTCATATGCACCATATTTTATCGCATACAAGTATTCGGGTTTATCAGAATATTGCTCCATATGGAAATGCGCACACGCTGCTCTGGCGTATTTTTTGACGCAGCTATGCAAAATGCTTGTCCTTGCAACGTTCTTTCCAGCCAGTGATATTAATGGATTTGATTTGATCCCAGTAAGTTCGTAGACTCTAGCTTCTAGAGTTGTCATCGATCAGAATTATAAATTACATTTTTGGATTACGACTACCTTTTATATTTCACGTTTGGGATTAATAATTTGCGTTTAAATTAGCTATTTTAACTTAGGACCCTATTCTTCTATGCTGAATTTGAATTTGGATTTTACTCTACTTTGTCAGTTTTTTAAATAGGTGGCTGTATATTTATGAAGAGATAGTTTGTTTACGATTTAAAAAACAGTGAAAGAGAGTTGCTGAATTCAGTGCGAAATCTTCATGTGATGTACTAAGAACTTTTAAGATTTTCATTTAGGAATTAATGAAAGCAAGCGCGGATATTTTCGATGTAATGGGTTTGCACGCCGTAATCTTTTATCTGATGGCAGGTAAAAGTGAGATCCGATTCTTGGCTGTTGGTTTAGGCTGGGCTTTTGCTCATAGGTAATTTCCAGATAGTTTTTATTGTTTTTATTTATAGATCTTATTTATTCTACATCAGTCTAATTATTTCACGTGTAGAAATTTATTGAAGAATTGATTAAGTAGTATGTTTACTATATCGTCTCTCAAGAAATTTGGATTGTTACTACGATAGTAGTCTCTTTAAGTAACTTTTCTACATTTTTTTTTCTTTAACATGCTGTTTGTATTTTCTTTATTTTAATTGAAAACGGAAAAGATTAGGATAGACTGTTAAGATTCTAAGGATAGAGTGAGTTGCTTCTTGATTAACCTAGCAAATTTAACTTAGACATGATATGATATAAATTTGTAATAACAGTGTAGAAGAAAATAGTCTCAATCTGTTTGAGTAATGTTGTAGGCTAAACTAAGTGATAGTGAGGAAAAAAGTTTATTTCAGTGTAGCTAGTCGCCTCGTTGGTTTTTGGGTTGGTGCCAGAGCAACAGCATTTCATTGGAAGTACATTCAGATGGCCCTAAATTCCAATATTGATCTAATTTTTTATGTTGGTGAGGTTTTGTTATCTGTCCTCCTGGTTCTTTCGTTTTATAAAGATTTGAGAAGTTTCAGTTTACTTGTGAACGAATTTATTTTCTTGTGGATGTATCAGTTATTTTGTAGAGTAACTGATATCTTACAAAAGCTATTACTGGAGAATAGAAGAGGATAAGGATGAGTTATTACCTAATAGAAGTTATCGAAAAAACCATCTATGATGTTTCTTTGCAGCAATGGCAGCATTAGTATGGTTATTCACTCGAAATGATCTCCGATCAGGAATGAGACGAATAGTTGCTTTGCTGATTGCACTTTGTGTTTTTCATGAATTTATTGAGCAGTAAGTTTATTTTTTTTTAAGTAAATACTTTATTCAATATTGCTATACGGATTTAGAAAAGTGTTCCTGATTAGGAAGGCTGAAATATATTTTGTTCACAAATGCCGTAGAAATAGTTGGTGTTTTGCTGATGTTGTAGATTCGTTTGCGTTGATTTGTTGTAAAAGCAAACGTAGAGCATTTTTGTTTACAATTTGAATTGCTGCAAACTAAATGTCACAACGAAATTGGATAAGTCCAGATTTTATTCTAATATAAATTAAATAGATATTTGTAATTTAGAGCGGGTGTTGTATATTTGGATCTTCGATCTTGGACCTTGCTTGGAGCAAAGGCCGCATTAACTACGGGACTTGCCATAGGAACACTGATTGCATATTCATCACTTGGAACGCATTTCACACAGTACCGCAGTTAAAAAATTTTTGCGGAATAGATGGAATATCAGACCGATGTCATTGGAAAAGGCAAATCTTTTGTTTGAAGCGAAAGACAAGCACTTGCCAGAGATGTTATTTACGACCTCTTTTTTTTTTGTTGGATTACAGCAGTTGCATTCGTATAAAAGAAACCAGCATTGCATTTCCATCGGCAAAATTCAAGAAGTTCAAAGACATATATCTGGCACTTCTCCGTATCTGTTGCAAGGGCATATTTCTCAAATACCAAAGACTGGTCGATCAGGCTGTTTCACTCTTGTATTAAGTGTAAACCATTAATCACGCCGTCTGCCGTGCAATTCATCAGATGAACTAACAAAAGATTCATTCTAAACATTCCCGACAGTAATTCGTTACTTGCTTATCATGTATCCGTATATCCACAGTTTTATTTCATCCAAATTTAAATCCTATATATCCCAAAATTGGAAGTGTTTTTTGGTTCCTTGACAACAATTTGCATTTGTGGAGAACAAATTAATCAGTGGAGGAACGTACTATCTTTTTTTTTTTCACTTGGTTGCTTAGGACGAATTCAATGAGGAAGAGATGAAACGCATATAAAGCTGAATAATTTTAAGCGCAATTTTCATTCATTGAGATAAATTTAGCAGAAATCTTTTTTCAACATTTGCAAGTAAAAAATTATACACGACACACACATACATACATGCACACACACAAAAAAAAAAAAAAACATACAATACATATACATGTAAACAAATGCGAAAATGAAAAAAAAAAAGAATTTCAGAAACATTGCATGCATGAGGCAAACCATACATGAAAATAAAATTATTTTTTACATCAAGAAATTGACGGCAGCAAAATTGGGTAAAAAATAATGAATTTGCTAAAGTTTGGATTAACTCGAAATGCATATAAGCTGAATTAAATTCTGGGAAATCAAAAAAAAATATTAGGAAATACAATAATGGATGAGACCCTGATTCGCTTCATATATAATGGATAAACAAGTTAACGGAATATACAAAATAATATAATTTTGCGAATAAGAATTGCTATGTTTTATATGACACTAGCAGGTAAACGTTCGAAAGCATCTGAATTCCGTCGATGAAAACCATTTACACTTGCTGGAGTTCCGGTTAACTGTTGTCCCGGTGATATTCGCCGCATAACAACATCTGATTGCCGTTGCAATTTGGAATCATTCGTTAGCAATTTATCATTCGTATAGCAGAAATCACGTGATGATAGCGAACCGGTAATCATTTCTGGTCCATCCGGAATGCCATGTTTCGGGTCCAAACCTGCTTTCAGCAATATTGCAGCACAGTCTAGTGCACCGGATGTTTGTGCATGCCACAATGCCGAACGACCCATTTCGTCTAGCATACGAAGATCCGCGTTATACTGCAAAATCAAATATTTCAGTAAAGTTTAAAGTTAAATCCATTTAAATAGATTTTGCACAATGTAACAGCAACAACAATCAAACTGCTTCACAACGATAGCAAATTTAGTAGGAACCTAATCACTTTCCCTTCATCACCTAATTTTAATGTTCGGAGTCCAGCGGACGATTTTCGGAATTGATAAATAGTTCGTTTCAAACAAAGCAATTAGAATTTTCAAAATTTATCACGTTAACTAGTAAATCTGCCATATTAACTAGTATCCAAAAACAGATTCTAATTTAACAAAGTCTTAGAGACTTTGTTAAATTCTAAGACTTTGTACTGGCTTCCCAAAATGAAATTTTGAGTCAGGTAATTAAAAAACAAAACGAAAGGAATAAAAGACATGGTTCTTTTAGACATATTTACAATCTCTCAAACATATATCCTGCCATTGATTGGTTTTGATGTTATCATTAATATTTTTTATCAGTATGAAATTCAAAAAGTTTACCCAAACAAGAAGTTGAGTGCAAGCAGCAGATGCATTTGAACATGCAATATGTAAGGCAGTACGCCTATCAGTCATATTAACTGTTGTTCGAAGATCACAAGTACTACAACGTGGTAAAATTGGTAAAAGTGCATCGAGATCATTATTGAAAACGGCATCAAGCAGTTGTCGGCCAAGTGGTATATTGGTTGTAATGAGTGGAAGAAAACGTTTTCCCTCATATTTCACCTTAATCCATTTCTCCTTTTCTTCCCTAAACAGAATTATCTATTGATAAATCATTAAAAGCAAAGAAATGAACTTTTATTGAGTTTTGGAAAGAACACGTAAAAAGCTTAATTACTGGATTTATTCGTAGAAAGCTGACTTAAATTTTCAAAAACAAAAATATAAAATTAACCTTGATGAGCTTGCCTGCGGTTTTCTACCTGATGGAGCACTATGCTCCCAAACAGAATTTGCTTTTTTATTACCAATCGCTTCCATGACATTCAAATACTCCATTCTAAATAAAGTTAAAACTCAACGAAAATATTATTTATAATGAAATTTATTTATGTTGAAAGTTATAAAATTTATGAAATTCTCATAAAGCTGTAAAAGTGTATGTTTTATAAATGAAGTTAAAAACAGATATATACCAAATAAAGATGAAATTGTCACTCGTTATTGGATAAACACAAAATAAACTTAGAAATTTATGTCATCAAAAACTACAGCAAAAAAAAAAAAGAAAAATGTGAAATGAAAACAGAACTTACGGCCAGTCATCCAAATCAAGTGAACGGACTTTTGAAATGTGTGAGCCAAGATTTCGATGAATTCCTGAGCATTCAATGCAAATTAATGTTCCCAAATTAAGCGAAGCCCAATCTGGCTTTAGAGCACAGCAATCAGCACAAGTATCATTACCCGGTATCTGTCGTAAAGCTTGTACCTATTAATAAAACTATGTAATTAACAGACTTTAAAATATTATTCAAGATTCACTACGGGAAAACGTTGCATAAAATTGTTATGCGATTTAGAAAATAGGAAAAAATGAGATAATTTGCAGGATATATTCTTACAAATACAATTAAAAGATTGCATTGTAACACTAGCTGTGATGCTTTTAAAAAATATTATTTCTATAACATTGCATATCACATAAGACAATTCATCAATGGTTTATCTATTTATTACTGTCAATAACATCAGACTAATATAAAGTTTATCATTTCAAATTCTATATCAACATGTAATTAAAATTAATGTAATGCAAAAAAATAGCGTATTCGTTTAACATTTTTGCGTGCAAATATAATCTAAAAATGCCCATTCAACAAATAGTATCATTCATTTTGTAACATTTATATACAGTGCATATTAAAAATTAACTTACTTCAGCTTTATTTCCATGTCCACGGCTACTATCTTGTTGTTTTTGACTCATTTGAGCTTGCAACGATTTCTCAATAAGCTCTTCGATAGCAGCAACCCATTCATCACGTTCCTCAACTGAAGTGGCCGAAAATTCCCAACGTTTCTGATCACAAGTAATAATTTCGAATTCACAATCATCTTCTGAAATATATCGCAAAAGTTAAAGATTCTAAGACAAGTATGTTTTATTCGTCAAAATCATTTTACATTTTTTTTAGAATTGCACACTAGCATCTTAGACTAGAAAAAAACGTCACACTGAAGGAAATCAAGGTACAAATTTTCAGAAAAAAAATTATCACAATAAATAATTCATTTACCTTCATCATTTTTAGCGGCTGATCCAAGTCGACGATGGCCTTTCTTTTTCTTACTTGCACTAGTAGTAATAGAAACTGGGGTAGTTATAACTGAACTACCTGAAGCTAAATGTTGTACATTCTGCTGTTGATCATCACTACCACCAGACGTTCCTAAAATTTGACAATGTAATTATGTTACAAATTAAAATAATCCATTGAACTGATACATCAAAAAAGTCCATTGAGATACAAATTTCATTCTTACCTTCACCATTTATACACTGTTGTTCATCACTGAAAGCTTTATTATCTTGACCAGTCGAAACATTAGCATCGCTTGTACTTGCAACACCAACTCGCACTACATTTGAATCATGCAATTCTTTTTTACAACCAATATCCTTAAGAAGTTGATTATCTCGGCCAGATCCAGAAATTATTTGCGTTTGAATACGTTGTGTATTTCGTGGCCTTTGACGTCCAGCAATACGTACTGTTGCTAATCCCAAAAATACTTCTTTCCCATTTGTATCCTTTTCCATATAATCCTAAAAACCAATAGAAATTCACTATTTATCATTCATAATAATTTCACGAACGCAAAAAAGAGGAAAAGAAGAAAAAATATTTGTAAAGTTCATAAATGATAACATACTTTTAAAGTCTGATGATAAGAAAGACGACCATTGGAATGAAGACAAACATATTTCTTTTTCCACTCCTTATTCAATGTTTTGTTACTCCTTTTGTACAAATGACCTTGTTTAACCGGTATAGCCCGACCCATACCCATACTAATCTCAGCTACTGATCGATGTGATTTATCATCGTGTCCGTGATCTTTAGGCCGCTGCTAAATTTAAATTAAAATGTTTACAACAAAGTTTACTAAACTTTCCACAAAACGAAAAAAAAAAGTTTAGGACAAAAACATTATTATCAAATAATTTAACTAAAATATGCGCCAACAATAGCAAATTAAATAGAAAAAAAAAAAATTCAATTAAATAAAAAATGACTATAGCTGCTTATTTCTAAACCAAAAAATTTTACAACTAATTTTCATTTAAAACTGATAGATACATAAGAGCATAAATATCGATATTTTTGCTCATTACCCAATCCTCTTAAATTTAAAGTTAGACGATACATTTTTTTTTAAAAAAAAAAGAAAACTAAAACAAATCAAAAGTTTACATACAAATAAATTGGAAATTCGACGATTTCTTCGCTGCGTTGTTGGAGTGGATAACGGCGTCAATAGATGAGTGGATGAAGTTGTTGCTACTGCAGGTGATTGTAATAGTAACTGATTGTCAAATGCTTCATCTTTGACAAATAACGCTTGATCAGTTTGACCAGAATTCATGATTGATGCTCGGGGTGAAGATTGAAAATGTGACGTATCTGAATAATTCATTCATCATATTACAATATCAAAACAGCATAATAAATTATTGATTATGGCAGAAATGAATATGAATCATTTTATTAAAGTAACTTTTCATCAAAAAATACTACGGTATTTGTTTGTATTTAATACTACTATTTCATAGAATTCATAAGTTTCATATATTGTAGAAAAAAAAGTCATTCAAAATAAAATTTCAGTTATAAATATATTGAAGCCCCTAATAAAAAATATAGCATATTATGTAATATATAAATTTATGCAAAAAAATATTTGCATTCTTCATTTTATACTTAGTCAACCAGAACAATTATAATTTTCCTGATTTTATCTAACTTGTAACTATAAATAACTTATGGTTTATTTAATAATTGCAATTATATATGGTCAGAGAAACAGGAATCATTTTATTAGTAATAAAGTAATGAAATGAATTAGAATTCATATATCATCTTATATAATTGTATAAGTTACCTAAATTATATTAATAACTATAATGAATGAAAAATATTTAGTATCATTAATCCTAGTCTAACATTATACATATGGTTTTAATAAAGATACTAAAAATTTCACCACTCCATAACCAGTTTACACTCATTTTGATGATATCACCAGAAGCAATTCATTCTTTTTCAACAAGCAAAATATTTTATTGTGCGTTAAAAAATAAAAAAATAAATATATTTATGAGGCAGCTGATGATAATAAATCAATTCAAATGAAAAGTAAACCCATTATCCTTCTCAATTTTTCTTTCCTATTTCTCGAAGAGTAAACTGTATAATTTTATTATTCAGAAAAATGATAATCTTTTTTTTTTTCCTTCCTTTTCTCTTCTTCCATTCCCAACCACTGATATTCAATATTTCATCAAAACTAGCTAATCAATTATTACCAGAATGATATAACTATTCTAAAATGTATATAGATCTAATATAAAATTAATATTGTTGAAATGATAAAATATCAATAATAGTCTAAATCTTTTTCTTATGTTAATAATTATTTATCAATAAATATTAGTTATATTATCATAATAGAAAAAAAAACAAGAAAGAAGACAACAGTATAAATCTTTATACTTGTAAGGAAAAGAACCAACCATTACTACCAGATGTACAACCATTTGAACCGATATGACTTGATGATACCGGATATCCTGCTGTATTACCACCACTACTACCACCATAACCATTACTACTACTATTACTACTGGATGCATACGGTGCGGCACGTTGCATCTGCATTTGCATTTTGGCCAAATGTGTTGTTGTTGTTGTTGTTGTTGCTGCTGTTGTTGTTATTGTTGTTGTTACGGATGGTATTACAAAAGCAGACATCGATCGTTCTGTACCACTACCATGAATTCCTGAAAAAAATAAAAAAGAAAGTTTTGTTTTTTTCACATTTAATAATAATATGTATATAAAAGAAGGAAAATACAAAACAAAAAAAGAGGAAATGAAACAATTTACTATCACAATTAATACTTTTTTTTTTCATCTAAAAATAAATGAAAAAGTAAAGGAGAACAGAAAAAAAGAAAGAAAAAAAGGTTCAATAATAAAGTAAAAGATTAAATTATATGGAAGGAAGAAAAAAATATATAAATAAAATGGAAGAAAAAAAAATCCTATAAATAAAATAGAAATAGCTGAATGAATACAAAATTATATACAATTGTTGTGTTAAAAATTTAATTATTACCTTAATTATATATTTAACTGAAAGAAAAAAAGAAAGAAAAAAGAAAATCAAAAAACTCTAATTTACTTACTCTCTTTACTTTGTCTTACTTAGTTAAATAAAGCAAAGTACATAAATTTATTTGAAAGTACAAACATCGTCTAAAATTTGTCCAAAGATTTACACTGTTAAAATTTAGTAATTCATTGCCCCATTCCATCTTACGAACGTTTAACCTATCAAATCCAACTCTTACTCACACTCATAAATCAAATTTCCAATTGACATATCTCCAAAAAAAGCTCTCTCTCTCTCTCTCTGTCTCTCTCCCTTCTCTCTCTCTGTTTCTCTCACCTCTCTTTTCTCTTCTTTTTCCTCTCCTTACAATCTCTTTTATTGATTCTATTCATCTTGACCTTTTCCTTCTTCTCATTCTGTCTTCCTTTCAAATAAACAAGTAATCAATAAGAAATGAAGAAAAAAAAAGACCTAAAACAATAAGGCGCTGTTGTCTTTAAATTATTATTTACTTACTTTTGTAAATTAAATATTACTTATTTAATGTTATTAACTAAATAAATTAGTTAGCTTTTTATTTCTCTTCCTTTTTTCTTTTTTTTTGTTCAATTAATTTATATCACAAATACATTCCTTAATTGTTAATGAATTAATTTATATTTACCAACGGATACATTAAAAGCGAATAGATTACCTAATCAATTATCAAATATCAAAAACATTGGTAATATTATTTATTTATTTCTGTTATTCATTTCATTCCATTTATTTTCTTGCTCTAAAATTTTAATGAAACACTTAATGGATGTAAAATTATCTTTTATTAAATGAAGAAATAAAAATTATTAAACCTAATTTATTAATAATTGTATGGCTTATATGTTTTATGTATTCCAGAAAACATTTATGCAACAAAGATAAGGAATATTGTATTAATTGAAAAGTATATATTATTTAGCAATATATTATTAATGACTGTTAATTAATATACTTAATTATTATCCATTTTATTCCATTTCTCTTTATCCTATAAAACTTTTCAATGACTGACTCTTTCGTTTCATTGATTTTTATAATTTCATAAATTATAGAATACATTTTAATAATTGCTTCAAAGCCTTATTTGTTGCACAAATGCAGAAAAAAGTGTTTTAGTAGCAGAATTATTAAGTTATATCTTATGATAATCTAAAATAATAATAATAATAATAATAATAATAATAATAATAATAATAATAATAATAATAATAATAATAATTGTCATTTAAAGAAACATTCATCCTTAAAATTTAAAATATTTTTGATAAAATTTAATCGCATAAAAAAAATTATCATTAATATTCAATTTTGTGAAAATCTCCATTCAATATAAAAATCAAAATTTAGATGACGTGAAAAATATCACAACGAAAGATTCGTGCACGTACGTAGTAAATTCTATGTTGCGTACGTTATGGAATATAACCCGTGAAAAAATGATATTTGATGTTATATATGATATTTGCTGGGAAGGAAAAACAAAGCAGTAAAAAAGTGAGAAAAAAGAAATTACAAATGGCACCGAGTAGATATTGTTGAAAATAAATGTCAACAAAGATGACAGGGCGAAAAAAAAAGGTAAAAAATGTGACAATAACAACAATTAACAACAATGACAAACAATAACAACGACAATAAACAACAACAAAGAATAACACGATTAAAGGAACGATTTCAAAAACAGAAGAAAAAGAAACATTTATTTTGAAATTATCATTTCGAATTATATGTTTAAAAAAAAAAAACAACACTGTTTAGAAATGTTCTATAATCTTATTTTATAATTCATAGTATTATTATTTATTCATTATCTACTAGTGTGTTAATTTTCCAAAAAAATATTCCATTTATTTATTATTATCATATTAATTGATAAAATAATAATACCTGATAATTATTATCAATGATAAAAATTTATCATTGACAATAAAATTGTCATACTATATAATATTATGTTAATAATTTTTACAGTGAAAAAAAAAGGAAGAAAGAAAGAAAACAACATACCAGCATTTACTGTGGAATTTTCTCGATGATAAATATAATTGGTTGGCAATTGCATCGGATTATTGGATGAATAATGAATACCATTTCCATAATATCCACCTGATCCTGTACCACTACCACTTTGATATTGCTGTTGTTGTTGTTGTTGTAAAGGTAATGCTGATATCGATCGTTGATGATAATATGATGCACTTTTAGTATTACACCCGTTTGAATATGTCAAATCCTAACAAAATTATTTTAATTATTATTATTAAGATATAAAATTTTAGTAATTTTAGAATTTATCAAGAAAAAAAAAAAGAAGAAGGAAATGACCTAAATTTTAATAAAATACTATAATCTACGATTTAATTCATATAACTAACCTGATAATTACTGTTTCGATAATCACTGCAGCTATTACTATGAAAAGTTGATGCTGTTGTTGTTGTTGTTGTTGATGTTATTGTCGTTGCTGTTGTTGTTGTTGTAGTTGTTGCTGCTGCTGTTGTTGTTGTTGTTGTTGTTATTCTTGTTGGTGTTGGTGTTCTTGCATTACTCGAAAAACTACCCAATAATCGTAATCGTTGTTGAAGAATTTTTTGACATGCTAAAGAAAAAAAATAAAAATGAAATTTATCGGTTTTTTTTTTTTCCTCTTTAGATATGAATAGCAACATTTACGAGAAGTTTGTTTAACGAATAATTAACTTTAATTAATAAATCTCTGATAAAATAATTAATTTCAAATAAGTACGTTAATTTTGATGATTTATAATTAAAATACATGGAAATCCTGTAGCTATTATTTCACTTCAGAACAAGTTTTCCGTCTTTTTTTCTTTTCTCTTGTATCAATTAATCAAAATAGGTAAACAAGTAATTTTATAATTCTATCCATCATCATCGTTAATGAAAGCATTTCATTTTTGCTACTACTGATTTATTAATTTAATTAATTAAACAAAAATAAAAATTCAAAATCATTTCAATAAATATTCAAAAGAAAGAATTGGGAGAAAATTTTTTTAAAAAAAGATGAAAAAATTAAATGGTATAAATCTATCCGTCAGTGCAAATTTTTATCAATTTATATAAATTAAGAATGAAAATTCAAATTCATTCATTTCAAATTGTATATATAAATTTTTACTATTTATCTTGCCTAATTAATTGTTATTTTTAGCAAAAATGAAAATGTTTGATGAATAATAATAAATATTTTGATAAACAATAATAATAAAATTTGATTGTAATGAAAATAGCATGGAAAGTAAAAAAAAAAAAGATATTTAATGGTAATTAATGATTAATGTAATACTAACATATTAAATGTACTATTTGATGTAAGTTTATTTAACCTTGTAAGTTTGATATTTGAGCACTAAAAATTTAAACATTTACAGTATCATATAATTAATCATACCAAACATTAAAAGAACAAATTTATCAATTTGTCAGCAAATATGCTGATGATAATCAGCATCACTCTAATAATCAATCATAGAAACAAAATCACTGATTAATATCTAAAAGTATTGCATGTTTCTTTTCAATTTATTTACATTTCAAATTTCAAAAAAAAAAAAATGAAAAAAAAAAAACGAATGAAGGAAAAAACACATTTTCCTATCTGAAAAAATTTTTTCTATCTTTTCCATGCATTCATTTTTTATATTTGTAAAAATTTTTCTAAATGAGGAAATATTGATAAAAAAAAAAAAAGAAATTAGAAGGTAAAGAAAGTTAGCAATGCGATAAAATATGGATAAATTTTAAAATATAACTTGATTTTTTCATCTAGAATTGAATTTTGATCCTTAATTTATAGATTTTACGAAATTATTGGATATTAATCAAATTCGTCCATTTGAATTATCAGTATAAAAAGGAAAAAAAAGGATAAAGTATACTTAGAAAATAAGACATACTTAAATAAGTTTATGGTTTATGGTAAAGATGCATAAAATTATGTATATATATATAAGTTTAAGGTAAGTTAATAAAGTCAAGTGTAAATTTTAATTTTTTGGTGTAAATTTTTGATTTAAGGTATAAATTTAAGAATGTAAAATAAGATTGTAAGTAATGTGAAAAAATGCAAATGTATTAAATTATGCGCAAAAAAAAGAAAAGTTTTAAAAGTTATAACGGAATAGGGAGAGAGAGAGGGAGAGAGAAGGAAAGAGAAGAAAAGAAAAGCAATAAATAAAAATTGATGGAAGCAAAAAGACAAGTGAAATGAAGAAATTAATTATAAATTTAAATGACAAAATGAAACTATTTGAAACAGCTATTAGAGAATATCAATTAATTGATATGTAATGAATGATATATGGAAACAAAACATGAAACACAATAAATAATATTGAAGATATTAACATTTGCTAAATTTTATTCTTTAAAAAATATTAGTAATCGTTAAATTATATATTTTAAATTGCATTTTTAGTGTTTTTCAGTCTATCTTGATGATTTTGTAAGTAATGATAGCTTTATTCCTTGGTTTGTTTAAAATTTTCTTTTTTTAAACATTTGGCAATACTAAATGGTAAAGAATGTAGCAGTGAATAACTTTACTAAAATATAATATTAACCAAGAACAATATTCAAAACTTTAAAATTGTAAAATTAAATATTAAAAAAAAAAAGAACAAGGAAATAAAAGTATGGAATCAAAAATTCAGCTTATATTTCACAAGTAATATCATAATTACTTTTACTATTCCTATCTTATTCATATTTACTATAATTACTCATATTCCTACTTGTATTACATTATTATCACAATTATCATTAATAATATTACCATCTGTAATATGAATAAGAGAAAAATCAGACCCAGTCCAGCGATCATAAGTTGTTGTTTACGGGAATGCAAACGACGTTGCACTTGTTGTTGTTGTTGTTGATGATGATGATGGTGATGATGAACATGCTGCTGATAATCATGATAACGATGATGATGATGATGACAATGACAATGATTTTTAGTTTCAGTTAAGACACGACTCTTTCCTAATAATCCAGGCATTTTAAATGCCGATGTTGATTTCGATGACGATGTTATTGTTGCCGTAGGTGATAACGACGACAATGATGATGATGACGATGATGATGATAGTGATGATGATGATGATGATGGTGATAACGACGATAATGATGATGACGATGATGATGATAATAGGGGATTACGTATACTAACAGTATGATAACGATTTATTATAGCAATATCACCGACGAATGCTGGTGTCCAAACTGTTATTGTTGTTGTTCTATTTTCACAATACAGATTCATCGTTATACTATTAATGATATCATTTTAATCAAAATTTTTATCACCAAATTTTTCTTAAGATTTATTTATCAAGGAAAAAAGATGGAATAACAAAATTTGCATATAAATTATAAAATAAGCTAACAGAAGAGATTTTCTATTTCGATTTTTTCACCAAAACCAATTATATCTCTTTATTTAAAAAAAATAAATGAGAAATTTTCAAGGTTAAAATAATTCCAATATTTTGGTTGAAAATTTTCAATCAGTTTTTGAAAAGGAAATGAATAGATAATGATACAAAGAAGGGACTGGTGAGAAAGAGAGAGGAAGGGAGGAAAGGATATAATAATAATAAACAAAGACAGTAATGAATAAATTGAAATAATTTATCGGAATTTATCAATATTTCGTGATGAATTCAATCATTATTTTATAGGAGTAAGTTATAGCAAGAGAAACAAAAAAAGTAAAATGATAGTAAAGATTGATAAAAAGTTAATTGTAGTAATAACTATTGATTAATATTACAATAACAGTAGTATAGTAATACTAACAGCAGCAATAATACTAATAGTAATAGTATCAGTAGTAAAATATAATAATGATAATAATAATAATAGTGATAATAACAGTAATAATGGAATAGTGAATGTTCGATAATTGTTATTATGATAGGATGTATTATAGTGGTAATAGTGAGGATGACAGTTGTAATAGTTGGTAATGATGATTGGTCTGTCCTTTGTTATGTATATCAGTGTTGTATATACGTTGTAGCTGAATGAATAGAACAAGTTTCAAGGCCAACAAATGATCCGGTCTTGTCACTCATTTCACTAAATTTCTTAAAAAAAAAAAGAGGAAAAGAAAGAAAGAAAAATGGACGATAAGAATAAAAGGAAAGAAAATTTGTTGAAAAAATGAATGAAATAGATTGAAATGATTATTGAATAATTGAAAAGAAAGGAAAGAGAAGAAAAAAAAAGAATGAAAAAATAACAAAAAAATATAACAATTTTAATTCTAATACAATTTTAGGTATTTATAGTAGAAAAAAAAAAAGTCTTTTCATTCTTTCTCATTCATTTTAGATAATTATCCTATAATTTTTACTTTATGCATATTTCTTTGGGGGAAAAAAAAACGATTATTTTGTATAAAAAAAACACTTTTATCACTTTTCAGTTGATAGCAGCAGGAAAATGAATGAATAAAACTATTTTAGTATAAACTGAAATATTAAAAAGTGAAAAAAAAAAAGTTCATTAAAAAAAAAGAAGCAAGATTCGTCCATTTAGAAAAAAATTATTATTTAAATATTAATTATAAATGATTTCAACTAAATCAGTTTTTTCTTTTTTTTTCTTAAACTTTTTTCTTCGATGGTTAAATAAATTTTTATTGATATTTGGAATGATAAATACACAGTATTTAATGGATTTAGGTCATTACTAGATTTAAATGTTCAATTTAGAATTCAAAATGGAAATTTTACAACTAGTGATGTTACTTTTCTTTAAAAAAAAAGAAAAATTTTTATGCAAGTGTGAAAAGAGAAAGAAAAGGAAACAAATTTTAAAATTTTAAACAAAATTCAATTATAAATTAGTTATTTGTTTTTATTGTCTAAAAAAAGAAAAGCAGCTGATCAAATATAATAAAGAATTATGCGCAATTATTCCATAAACATAACGTGATAATCTTAAGTAAACGTAAACTTAAATTCTGATCAGTATATTATCAGTATTAAACAACTGACTAATTGATTATCAGTATGCTATGAACAACTGACTAATTGATTGATATTCACATTCCATGAATTTGAATAATATTCGGAAAAAGTGAAGACAGTAAAAAATGAATACCGTTTACCACATCCAAATTTAATAGCCTAAGTAAAAGAAAAATTTTTTAAGCCAAAGGTTATATAATGAAAATTTGAATACTTTCACTCACTCGAACTGAACAACGATGAAGATTGATGACAAATTAGACAATCTTAGACATAATTAAAATTCGAAGCAATAATAAACATATAAATTAAGAATTTAAAAATCGAAAGAAAGAGTAGTTAAAATTGAAAACAAAACTCATATAGAATAAAATATGATTCATGTGCAATCTAAATTTTATAATTTATAAATTACAAATGTAAAATGTTTGACTGAAAGATGGAAGAAGAGAAAATTGCAATAATAATAATACAATAATGCATGACTTACACCAGTGATATTCGAATAGCGTCACGATGATAACTAAATAATATCACGATGATTTAATGGATGGTTTGATGGATAATTGTTAAAGTGCAACATGCATATGTGTGTATGTGTATATATGTGTGTATGTGTGTTCTCATTTATCTTTAGTTCAAAAAAAAAAAAAAAGTTTATAAATTTTGATGTCACCAATAAATTTGATACATAAGCAAACTATTGTAAACAGGAAATAAACAAAGAGAGAAAAATGAAATATCCAAATTTTTCATTTTTAATTTTTCTTTTTGATACAATTTTATTTGTTTTTTTTTTTTTATTTTGAAATTTTCTTCTTAAAATATTTTTAATCCAAGCATACATTTATAATTTTCTTTTTTTTTTCGTATCTTCTTTACCATTTCAGATGCATTTAAGCATTTCAAATAAATTTAAAGATTTAAAATGAATTTATCTTTTTTTTTTTTTTTTTTGGCAATTTCATATGCATCTAAAAATACTTCCATAGATTTATAGAAAAGAATGAAATTTTCGATTCTTTTTTTTTCTTTCTTTTCCCTTTGACAAATAATGTTTACCAATCTTTTCACTTAAAATTTCTTTCTTTTTCATTTAAAAACAAATTTTTTTCAAATCATTTTTAACCAAACATGCATTTCTAATTTTTTTTTTCTTAAATATTTCGTTGTCATTTCTTATACATCCAAGCAATTTCATGAATTTAAAAGGGTTGAATCTTTCTTCAATTTTTTCTTTTTCTTAAACAAACAAACCCTGTCCAATCTACTTCAAATTTAAAATTTCTGTTAAAATGAAAAAAAAAAAAATTCATGTCCATACTTATGGAGTTAAAATGAATTTCTTTCTAAATAAACATAAATTTTCAAATTTTTATACATATTTTAAATAATATATGAATATTAGAAAAAAACAAAGATGATTTTTATACATTTATGGAATTAAAATGAATCCGAATTATAAAAAAAAATTCAAAAAAAATTTTTTTTGCATTCATTTCAGCGTTTAATTTCATCTGTTTAAATTCAAAAAAAAAAAAAAAAAAACTTAACGATCTCGATTTTTTATCATTATAGTGAAGCAAAAATAGGAAATTTTTTAGTAAAAAGAATGTATGTTTAAATAAAAATTATTAAATTTGGGAGAATTTCGATTATAGTTTGAAATTATATGCATAAATATTAGAAGAAAACACATTTATTTTTTGATAAATATTTGAATTTATTTATTTTTTTTTTTCTTGAAACAATTATCAATCGATTTATCTTTTATGTACGATATTATCGGAATGTTACACATCAAAAAATGTTTCCCGAAACGTATATATATTGATTAACAGATTTTATTCTGTTTCAATTTGATCTATTTGAATTATCAGAAATTGAAAATGAAATTTATTTTCAGTTTTTGTTTCATCAAAAATTTTTTTTAAATTACAATCTTTCATTAATACTTGCAATATTCAATAATTGCTATACATATATTACTTATCACTATATCATTATAAATTCACTATATCAAAATATATCACTATAAATTATCACTATTTTGTGCAGACATATCATTTTATTTCTTACTCTATCAAATCACTATATCAAAATATATCACTATAAATTATCACTATTTTGTGCAGACATATCATTTTATTTCTTACTCTATCAAATCACTATATCAAAATATATCACTATAAATTATCACTATTTTGTGCAGACATATTATTTTATTTCTTACTCTATCAAATCACTATATCAAAATGCATCACTATAAATTAAGCATATTATCATAACAGTAAATTCATCATTAGCATACTTAATTATCAGAAGAAAAAAGTTAAGGAAGAATTTAGCAAAAAGAAAAGACTTCAAATATCTGCAAAAATAAAAAAAAAATGACATAAAGATATTAATGATTCATTATTAATATGTAAAAAGTAATATTGAATTAAAAATTAAAATAATTACAGCTATTTCTCAGGGATTGGAAAAAAAAAGAAAGTTATCAAATAAATTAAAAAAATAAGAAATAAAAATGAATAAAAGCAGTTTAGTTAAAAATTTTTAAGTGAGAAAACAAAAAATTGAATGAAAAGAAGTTAATAAGAAAAATAAAAATAAAAAAAAAGATAAGCATCAAATAAAAATAAAAACTAATGAAAATAAATTGAATAGAATGCAATACAAAATGATAATAGTGATAACAATAATAATGATAATGATAACAAAGATAATGATAATAGTGATAATGATGATAATAATGATAATGATGATGATGATGATGATAATTTTGAGGATAAAATAGCGTTGACTGACATAATATGAAATAGAACATCTGGCATATTAATTTTTTTTCTAAATTTTATACTTTTTTTTCTTTTCTTCTTTTCCTCCTATGTTTTCACAGTGTCTCGGAAAATAACGATAAATAACTAACGAATCTAATGACAGTAAGTTATTCATTTCTTAAAAAAAAAGAAAATTACCCTTCTTTCTTTCTCTCCCTATTCCTCTATCTCTCTCTCTCTCTTGCATTCCCTTCTTTAATATCTCAAATTACAACATTAAGTTATAAAACATGATGATATTTTTATTACTCTATTTCTAGACTTCAAAATAAACTAGAACTTTTAAATTTAAATTAAAAACAAATTTTTTTCGGCCAAATTTTAAATATAATATAAATAGTACATTTCAGTATATTTCATTTCTTTTACAGTTATATTTTATTTTTGAAATTTCAATTCATTTTGATTGAAGTAATTTAATATTAAAAATTTCTCCTACAAATGTATTTTAATTTAATGATTTGGTGAAATTTGAAATTTAAAATGACTAATCAAATATTGCTGAAAGAATTTAACGTAATATTCTTTCATCAAACATACAAGTAATTTATTTTTAGATGAGATTTAATTAATTGATTTCACACTCGAAGTCTTGCACACATTATTTATTTATAAATTTAAAAATTTTAAATTAAAAAACAACTTTAAAAATTGTTAAAATTGTTAACAACCATGCAAAATATACATCAAATAATTTGGATTAAAAATTTTTAAACTTAACAGATTTATTTAATTATTTAATTTCATTTTAAATTACTATAACGGCAAGTACTAGTAAAAGTGAAATCTAACTTTTATTTCTTTTCAAAAATAACAACTGACAACGGCTAAAATGTAGTAAAAATCATCACACTTTTTAAATTTAATTTCAGTAATAAAAAAGAACAATTTGAAAGAAAAAAAGAAATCAAAATTTGAAATAATATAACTTATCATGTATAATTTACAAAATAATTTTCAATATATAATGTCAATTTATTTATTTAATAAAATTAACAAACTTAACTTCAATTCCAATGTTAAATTTGAAATTATATACTAATTTTAATTAAAATTAATTAATTATTTTTCTTGTATATTTTCAAACCATTTATTATATATTAATTTTAATTATCTTTTTTTCAATTTAAAAAAGGCCGGATATTTTATTATACAACATTAATTAATTACACTTCAAATTGTATGACTATTTTTTTCTTTTAAATTTACTAATACTTCTGATAAAAAAAATTTAAAAAAAAAAAAGCTAACCATCTTTAAATACGCGATCCACGTTTAAACCATACGTTGAGCACGTTTCATAGTACGCTGAACATTTTGGTAAATTTTTTGCCATTTGACGTCCTTCGTGTTCATTAATTACACGTGGATTTGATTCTGTCACGGCGTCCTAAAAAAAATTTTTGTTTTTTTTTTTACCTCAAAATTTAATCATTCATTCAGATAATATTGTTAAATTACTTCTTTTCATATTGGTTAACTATCTTTTAATCATCCATACAACATTTAATAGCAATTTTTAATCAGAAATTTAAATTCAAAATCGAAATTTATTTCAAACATCAAATAATAATATATCATTTTAATGCTAAAGACAAAAAAAAAGTTTTGAAAAGAAAAATCCTGAATTTTCATTGTAATATTAACTTGGTCGAAAGAATTTAGAATAATAAATATTTGGATGAAATATTGAAATAACCTGCAACTAGCATTATTTTCATTAATTCTTTATTTTTTTCATATTTTAAATATTTAAACATTTAAATATAAATATACAGGGAGATTTAATTAAATATATTAATTAACAAATAAACAATTTACCTGTGTTGCTACCATCATTATTGGTATTTCATTAATATTTCGATATTTAGCCATTTGTTCGTAATAGTGCAATGCAGTTTCAATGCTTTCTTGACTTTCCAATGAAAATACAAAAATTATTGCATCCACCCACTGCGCAAACTAAAAAATAAATAAATGTAAAATATAAAATAAGTTTTTTCCTTTTTTTTTTAAAAAAAAAAGCATTTCCAAATGATCTAATAAAAATTTTTGAAAATTTAAAATATTTGTTAAATGATAAATTATAAGTTAAAATTTAAGTAAACAATTAAACTCATTCAGTGCATCATTTCATATAATTAATATAAAATGATTGAATTAAAAGAAAAAAAACTGCTATAAATGATAAAAATATAAAAACGAAATAATGAAAATTAATAATAGAAAGGATGAAAAAGTTTTTTTTTTTGAAAATATTTAAAAAAAAAAGGAAAACCAAAGAAGAAGAAAAAGAGAGAGGAAAAGAGAGAGAGAGAGAGAGAAATGAAAAGATTAATAATTAACATTATAGTTATGTGAATTTTAATTAAAATTTAATAATGAAATTCTGATAAAACAATTTTTTTTTGAGTTTTATACAAATTTTAATTTTTTTTTTTTTTGTATAAACACAATCATTTGACTGTTGGGAATGCTATAGAAATGAAGAAAAAATGCGAAATTTTTTTATGTCATTGGCAGGGTAAAATGAGATGACAAATACAAAGATAAGAGTTGGATGAAGAAAATTATCAAAATATCTGAGAGGGAGAGAGAGAGAGAGAGAGGGACAGAGAGAGGGAGAGAGGAAGGAAAAAAAACAACGAAACGAGGGATAAATGAAGAAAGGAAGAAAATTGGGTACCACAAATGTTGTTGAAAATTTACAATCAATCAGTATCAAATTTTTCTCAATGTGTACATTTTGGCAGGTGTAATATAAAATGGGTGAGGGAAATTTTCTTTTTTCAAAAAGTGATGAAAGAATATTTAAATTATAAAAATTGTGACAGTTGTACAAATGGATTTGAATTTATTAATAGTTAAAGTAATCAACGATTAATTAGTTAGTCGTATAAAAAAAAAAAAAAATTCAGGAAAAAATGAGATGCTTCCATATAATATGAAATTTTGATTTAGAAATAGAAATTAAAATTATTTATTAAAATTTATAAAGAATTATTAATAATTAGTTTTCTTCTCATATTATTTTCACTTTTTGCCATTTATTATTGAGTTAATAATAACTAATCGTTTGAATTTGATTAAACTGAAAATGCAATCAAAAATGTAAATTTAAATGATTCGTAGAGGTGAAATATAAAAATAATAGAATTTCTATAAGTGTAGATTTGAGTGAATTTTGAAAATTAAATCTCTTTTTCAAATTTAAATTTTATTTGTACTTTAAAAAGTAGAATAAAACTGATTGTAAAACCTGATAATCAGGTGGAGCACTTCCTTCGTCACGTATAAGTAATAAATAACTTTGACCGTCAAGTACCACTTCCTTCTTGAAACGACCACCTGAAATAATGACAACGAAAAATTTTGTAATATTTTAAAAAACAGAAAAAGTCAAAAAAAAAAAAAAAGAGAAATAATTATTTGAAATACCAAAAATATAAATGATTAAAGCATCAATTCCAATCTAATTTTTAAAAATTTTCAAAATATCAATTAAATAATTTTTTCTCAAATCAAATCAAAAAAAGAAAGAAAGAAAGAGAGAGAGAGGGAGAGAAAGAGAAAGAGGAAAAGAGAGAGAAATAAAAGTGAATTAAAATTAAATCAAAAATGAACCTTCAGGTGATTCTTCGTTTGTATAAGCACCAGTTAAATAGCGATGTACAAGTGATGTTTTTCCGCTATGCAACGATCCAACAAGTCCCTACAAGAAAAGAAAAAAATTCAGTTCTTAATTAATTAATTAATTTTTTTGTTGTGAATTTAAAAATTAACAGATAATAAAAACTAAATTAACAAAAGAAAATTACAAATCATAAATTCAAAATAATTAATTGATAAAAAAATAAAAAAGACAAAAGAAGAAAAGAAAAAGTTAAACAGAGTAAAAAAAAAAATTAATAAAAAAGACAATAAAAAAAATTAAAACAAATTTTAATTATTAAAAAAAACTTTTTTTTTTCAAATATTTGATAAAAATATACAAAAAAAAAAAAGAGAGAAAATTTATAAATGTTTCATTCTAAATAGCATATAACACATACAAAAGAATGAAAATAAAAAAAAAAAAAACAACAAACATATAATTAATTTTGTTATATTTCACTTTTTTTTCTTCTCAAATTTCAAATATTTCAAAAAAAAAAAAAAGGAAGGAAGAAGGAACAACAATGATATTAAAATACATTCAAAAATTGAATGACAATTTCAAAAAAATTCATTAATTATCCGATGGCACAGTAAGGTATTGTAATAATGATGGAAATAGATTTAACAATGATTGATAGCTTTACTGTTCCATCAATGACAGTTCTTTCTTTTTTTTTTTTGCTTAAATAAAAATGAAATAAACAAAAGGAGAGGAGAAAGAAGGGAAAAGAAAGAAAGAAAGAAAAAACATCCTAAATGGGAAGAAAAGAGAAAAAAAAAAGTAAAAATTTAAATTTCTTTTAACAAAAAAAAAAAGAGGAAAAGAAAAAAGCGAAATAAATTTGAGCTAATATTTTAAAATTTCATTATCAAATAAACAGTTTTTCTCAAAATATTAAATATTTGTTGAAATTGTTTGAAGAAAAAAAAAAGACGAAAAAAGCAAATTCCATCTCAAAAATATTGAATAAAAAAAAAAAAGACTTAAATTAATGAATTAAAATGGAATATTTAAAATCAGTTAAAAAAAAAAAATCGTTCTTTTTTTGTTTTTTGTTTTTTTTTTATTTTTATCAAAATTTGAAATATTTTTGAAAATTTTATGAGCAAAAATTCTCCAAAAATTTTATCAAATTAAAAAAAAAAATAATTTGTAAACAAATGCTTGTGATGAAATAAATTAAGAAATTAGAAATATTTCATCCCAAAAAATAAGTTTTCTTTTTTTTAAATACTAATTTTTTCTTATTTTACTTTGCGAATAACATATAATTTTTAAATTATTATATATTGTTTTTTAGACAACAATATTCATATCTCACATTTAGGTAAATATACCTGTTAATTAGCAAATACAAATTATCAAATATAAAAAATTAATTTTTAGCTATTATTTTTTAGCCAGCATAGATTACTTTTTAAAATGTATATCATCTATGAGTTGCTTTCATATAGAATTCTCCAAAAATTTTAACAAAAAAAAAATAAATAATAAATTTAAGAAATGTATAATTAAAAAAGTTTGAAAAAAATTACAATAATATAAATAATGCTAAAAAATAAATAAGTGATAACTTATCACTTATTATAACTTTTTTTTAAAGCTAAATTTATGATAATTTTGATCAATTAAATGACGCATGAAATGGTAAGCAATGTAAAATAAAAACAAAAAATTATTTTAATAATTAAAGAAAAAAAAATAGAATCGAAATGTGATTAAAAAATGATAAATAATAATTGTTTTAATAATTAAAAAATACAATTAATATTATCAATAGATAATATCACAGTTCGAAATAATTCAGTTCAAAATATTAAACAATAATGAATTAAGTAAAGAAAAAAACTTATACTATAATTTTATAAAATTTTGAAATTAATTTCATAGATATTAAATTATTATGCAGAAAAATGCATAATAATTTATTATATAATTTTGAAAGAAAGAAAAAATCCATTTTGTCAAAATAATCATAGGATGAAGAGAAGTGCAACAAATAGCAGAAAAGCAATTTTATTGTTAATTGGAGTGACCCTTGACCTTAGACTTTAATTTGCATATCTTTCGCATCGGCCTTCTTCTTTATCGACTTACTACTATACTAATTTACTTATACAATTACTATTATCGCTATATTAAAACTTAATTTTAAATGAATAAAATTTTGAAATGATTAATACACAGTGTACCGGAATAATACATTTTACATTCCGGATTGCTACATTGGGAAAATTTCGTATCTTTAAAACAATCATAATCTTCCAAATTTATTATTGATTAATTTTGTTTAATTCCTTCCTACTGTAAGCATCAGTTCACCGAGATTAGCATAAAATATTTCCGTATGCAAATTTTGCCTTATTTGAAAAACAATTATTCGACCAATTAATCAACAAAATAATAATTTCTTAGTGATAATAGTATTATCACTAATTGTGTCATTAATTACATATATAGAACTGATAATAATTAATAACAGATAATCAATCACCAAATTATTCCGAAGTGATATTACATTATTTTTCACTGATTATTTTTATGCAATAATTAATAGAAATAAACAAAATTATAAATCATTATCATTGATAACATAAAATAACAGCCATTATCATATCATTATCATTTATAATGATGTGATAAACATAAAATAACAGCCATTATCATATCATTATCATTGATAATGATGTGATAAACATAAAATAACAGCAATTATCACATCATCATCATTGATAATGATGTGATAAACATAAAATAACAGCCATTATCATATCATTATCATTTATAATGATGTGATAAACATAAAATAACAGCCATTATCATATCATTATCATTGCTAAAAAAATACTTTGAATACAGTAAAAATATATTTTGTGTTTCCCTGTGGAATGCATCAAATCCTAATTACAAACAATTTGAATACAAGGTCAATGCAATGATAAAAATCAATCTGAAAAATCTCTACCTGAAATAATAATCACAGCAATTGGCTGTTTTTTTACCTACAAAAAAATTGCGATGGAATTTTTTCTCTTTTTTTTGAAAATTATTTGCAAATTTCATTTTTTCTTAAAATAATATTAGGCATACAATATTAATTCGCCATATTATATAAGTAAATGAGTAAAATAATTAATGTAAAGAAAAAAAAAGTAATTAAGTGTTAAATACTAAATTATTATTAGTGATAATAATATGATAAGTGTGATAGAAGTGATATTGATATGAAAAAAATAAAATTGATGATAGTAATATGCATAAATAATATTAAAATAGTAATGATATTAGCAATCAAATATTTAAAACTTAAATGCTCAACATATTAATTTTAATATATATATATATATATATAATACATTAAAAAATTTGCTAACCAAATAAAATATATTTCATTTATTTATAAAACTGACAAAAATTATTTCAGCACATTGATAATAACAATAATAATAAAATTTTATTTGATAATAAAACAATAAAGATAATATTTTAATTATTTGCAAACAATAAATTACCAAATTTTTTGGCTGAATAATAAAACAGTAACAACAATAACAGCTACTACTACTACTATTACAGTACAGTAAAGTATAGGAAATGAGTAACTTATATAGGAAATGGATAACTTATATTCAATAGCAAATACAATCGAATAGTTAGTTATGTTGAAGAATGGACGAGCAACAGTTAACCCAACAGCAGATGTTTTCATTTCCAAATGACCTGACCCCATGGGTCCAATTCAACCCAATTCTAACAGTGACATCTACCCGCCAATTTTTATTTTCATTTAACAATGATGTAACATAGCTCGCAATAATTTAAATGGAATAGATTAATTAATTAATTAATTAATTAATAGAACAGAATTAGAGGTAGTTAGAGCAAAATGAAAACAAAAGAATTAATAGGATAAATGTGAAATATTGCATTATTCCATAATTATTTCTTAAAATTTAAATAACATAATAATAATAATAATAATAGAATAATTGTGAAATGATAAAGTAATAATATTAATTTAAATTAACTGTCAAATTATTATGCAGAAAAATAAGTTAAATTATGTAATAAATAAATGCAAAAAATAAATATTTATTATTAAAAAAGGAAATTAAATATTTTTTTTTGTTTTTTTTTTAAATCAGTTTGTATTTTTATATTATTTTTAACTTATAAAATGAGCAACATTTACTGATTTAATTATATCAACATTGACATGAATGATTGCAAGTAAACAAATTGTAGCTGAAAATTAAGATTAATTAATACTAATTAATAAAAGCATATTTAAAAGGGACTGATCTGATCGATTGATAAATTTGATCGATTAATACAAGCTGATCAATGCAATGATAAATTAATAATAAAATGTTAAATTAATAATAAAAATTACTGACTTCTGACAGCTTAATAAAACTATCCTAATTATCATTATCATTATCACTTAACACTAATCAATCAATATCATAAAATGATAAATTAAAAAAAGAAAGGAACTGTCTTCATTAAACTTTCTTTTTCCTCATCGTCTTAAATAAAGCTTTTAAATTTTATTTAAAAATTGTCTACACTGATTGCAAAAAACTATAAAATGTATATTTCAGTAAAAAAATTTTTAAATTTTTTAAGTAATCAAACTTTTTATTTATCATTTATTTCCCTCCTTCTTCTCCTTTTCATTTAATTTCCAAATTTTATAATAAAATTTTAAAAAAGTTAAACCTTTTTCCTCGTTCTTTTTAAAAATGCTTATTTATACAATATTTTTTAATAAAGAAATGGAGAATTATGCAAATAATTATGCCAATACAATGAATAAAAAAAATTTTTTTTTTTTAAAGTTTTATTCGCTAAACAAAAAAGAGAGAAAAAAAAATAAAATCGCAGAAATTTATTTCAGAATAAAAATGAATATTTAAATGAATTTTAAAAGAAAATCACTAAATATTTAATTTAAACATTTCAATTCAATATTACGCACAAATCATTCCAATTTTTTATTAAAAAAAATTTATCAAATTAACAAAATTAATAAATCCTTTTTTTTAAAATATACATGTTTTTTTTAAAAAATTCCTAAATTCTAACTTACTTATTTTTGAATTTAACGTATGCAAATTTAATAATTTATCAAATTTCACTCATTTCATTTTCTGCTACTTCAAAAAAAAAAAGTCTACCAGTATATTAATAAAGTGAACAAAGAAAAAATAAATAAGAAATAAAAAATAAAACAAAAAGAAAAAAGTGAACAAATTAGTGCCAAACAAATGAATTTTAACTTTTTTAAGAAAATTTTTCGAAATTATTTGAATGATAAGCAAAAAGTCAATAAACTGATCAAACAATTAATTAGCTTGAATTTTCTTTTATTTTAACACTACCAAATGTTTTGAAATTAAAATATGGCTTATTTAAATTACAAATTTATATCAGTGAATTATAAAATTGAATAATTACAATTAGTATTATCAATTCATCTGTTTTATCATTTTTTTTTTCTCTACAAAATATCATTTGAAAATAGTAAACGAATGAGAATATAATTTGAATACAATTTGTAAATATAATTTAATATACAATTTCAAATAGAAATATGTAATTTGAAAATAATAATTAGATAATAATCACAAATTTGCAATACAGTAAGTTATTTTTCACTTTTACAAATTTTATAATTTAAGATTTGAATTTAAGATTTTAAATTATACATTTAAGAAAAATAAAAAATAAATATACAAGGTAATATAAAATCAATTGAACGAATAAAGAATAAACAAGAAAGAAAAAAAATTAAATGAAAATAAATATTAATTTTAGGAAGCAAATAAATAATTCCATTGAAAATAAGAAATATTATAAATAAATAATAGAAAAAAAAAACAAAAAAATTTTTAGAAAAAAAAGTGAATTAAAAAAAAAAAAGCAAAACAAAGAATTTTTAATTAAATAAATGAATGATAACTAACCAATTTGAGCTCAGCAACACCACGACATAATGTCCATTCATGGCTATTAACAAATGCATCTGAAATAAATAATTAAATTTAATTGTAAAATGTAATTAATCATAAAATATTTCATTGAATGATTAAAAGATAAATTTGAAAATTTAAAAAAAAAGAAAAAAAAGAAAGAACAAAGATGAATAAATCTAATTTCATCTAATAATTGATGAATTACGTAACAGTTTTAATTTCATTCCTCTATGTCTAAATTTATGAAATGTAATAAATTTTGATTAAATTTTAAAGGCAATTTTGAAATTCCTCCAAAAAGGAACTTTTTCCTTTCAAGATTTAAGATTTTTCATTGTAAATAAATAATTCGAATGTAAAACAAATTTCAACTAATTATAAACACTATCATTATTAATTTTAAGCTAAAATCAAAAATTTGAATTAAAAAAAATTCTTTAAAAAAAAGAAATAATAAATAATATTTTTAATCAAATAGAAAAAACAATTCTGCCTCACTTCTTAAATGAATATTATCAAAATTCTTCATTTATAAAAATTTTAAATGATATTTGAAATTATTGCAACAATAATTTCAAATTTAATTTAAAATAATTAAATGAACAAATTCAAAAGAAAAAAAAAATAGTTGAAATTATGGAAAAGCGTTGAAAGAATTTATAAAATTTTAAGAATTTTAATTAAAAAAATTAAATCTGATAGAATCTAATTTTGCCGCACCACTTTTACTTCTATGTACTTTTTTCGCTTTTCTCCAAGAATTTTTTCCGGATGAACCATTTCGCTCCATTTCCATTAACAAATTCGGCATCATATCCATTTGTCCGGAAGATTTCATTTTTTCATGTTTAGCATATTTTTGGCTTGTAGCACGTAATTTCATCTTTTCAAATGAATATTTTAATGAATTACGAAATGATGAATCATGGCTAGTTGTGCGCAATTGTCGTCTATTTCTATTAGATATATACTCATGTGGTATAGGATAATCTTTGGGAAAATCTCGAGGAAAAAATTGCAGCGATTCTCGACTACAAACATTTTTGATTTTTTCCCTTTGTTGTATTAATTGATGGTGATATGATGACTTGTTAACAGATGATAATGGTGATTGCTGTTGCTCCTCTTCATATTGATCACTAATATGATCAGGCGCAATTGTCACATTTAGGCGTATTTTAGCCTTACATAACTTTTTATCAGTATTTTTAGCCGAATAAAATGCTTTATCAGAAGCATTAACAACAGGAAAAATAGTGAATGATGTTGATTTAGAAAGTGTATATTCCCCGCGACGTCGTGGCATATTTTATATTTCTTTCCTTGGTGAATTTTTTTTTTAAAAAACTTACACAAGTTTATTTCATTTTTATTTAATCTAAAATAATTTAAAAATTAATAGAATAAATACTGAATAATTACGATGAAGTAAAATTGTCGTATTTTTATAGAAAGAGAAAAATTTAATTAATACTTTTTTAGATTCTAATTTATGAGAGAAAAAAGAATACAAAAAATTGTTATTTATAAGAATAAGTTTGTTACAATAATTAATTTTTTATTATGCATAATATATAGCTATCAAATACTATTAAAATTTATTATTTTATGGTAAAAAAAATATTTTTTTACTAAATAGAATGCAAATATCACATGTAAATATTTTAGGATATTGAAAATGAAAAAAATAAATAAATAAATAAATAAAAAGATATTACAATTATTTTAAAAAAAAAATCACAAATTAATACTTCCTATTGTTTTGTTATTTACTTTCTATATTTTTAGATTCATTTATTTATAAACAACAATATTTTTGAAAATGAACTAAAATAGATTGAAATCATAAATTCAAATTTAAAAAAATCATTTTGATATTATTGACCAATCTGAAAAATCAGTGAAAAATAGGAAAAAAGAAAAAATATTTTCGATATTTTTATAAAATACTTTAAAAAAAAACTATGTATGGCAGGCACTACTATCAAATGCGCTTATATTTGCAATCTTTAAAAACTTAAAAAAGTTGAAAAGTTTAAAATATTGCAATTGAAATATATATATTATTGTTAATTATTACTATTGTTATTGTTATTATCATTATTATTATTAATAATAAATTATCGTTAATGTTATTGCCACTATTTCTTACACATTTAAATTGATTTTGTATATATAATAAATAATAAAAAATTGTTCCAAAAAAAATTTCAAACATATTTCACAGATTAAATAATAATATTAAAAATAAAAGTAAAAAATAAAATTGAGCAAAAAAAAAAAAAAAAAAAAAAAAGTAAAACTAATCGTTCGGAAGAAAACGGATTGAATGATAGAAGTTTAGAAATATTTGAGATTTTAAGTCTTTTTTTAACTTACAATTAATCTCTTTGTTCATTTTTATTTTTTATCTTTTCTTTTTTTTCATTTTCTTTTTTTTTTGCCTTTGCCTATTTTCAACAGTTAATAAATAAATATATTAAAAAAAATCGAAAAAAATAAACAAATACAAAAAAAAATTAATGAATGCAAGAGAAAATTATATACTTTTATGTAAATGTTTTTTTTTTTTTTGTTTAATAAAAAGTAAAATATATACAAAATTTGTGCGAAATATGTGAATAATTTCTGAAAAGATAGCTGAAAGAAAATGAAATAAAGGAATTGTAAATAAAAATATTTAAATTCAATTTATCAAAATTTTTTTAACTTTGTTTTTTTTTTTTTTTAATTCAAATTAGTAATCGTTGGTTACTTTTTACTAAAAAACGATATTCAAAAAATGCAATTACACTTGGAAGTATATATTTTGTCAAATTTAATAATTTGGTTGATAAGTTAATAAAATAATAATTATTGATATGATATGATAAAATAAAAAAGAGAAATATTAATTAACACAAAAAAATAAAATATATTCAAATTTAAATCTTCATGAAGCATTGATATTTTTCAGAAAATATCAAATTTTAGCAAAAAAAAAACAACTAAACCTTGACCTTTAACCCATAATGAAATATTATTTCTTCCATTTATTTACCTTTCTTTCGATTTAAAAAACTATTTGTATTAAAGTATGTAAACGACCAAAAGATTTTCAATTTATCATTTTTCATTTTAATTAAGAATGTAAAAAACGTTAATGAAAAAGTTAAAAAAAAAAAGAAACTAATCAAATAAGTTTTTCTTCCGTTAAATGAAGCAAAAAAATCATTTAAAGTAATAAAATATCTTTTAAGCTATTATAGCTTAAAATGAAAAAAAAATTTAGCAAAATTGTTAAATATTTAGGAAATTTGATTGTTATTTTTATTAACAATTAAAATTTGATTATTAGCAATAAAAAAAAAATTTTTTTTTACTGTTTCGTTTCTAAAAAATATTGTCTATGCCATAAAATCGCATAAATTGAAATAAAGAAGAGAGGAAAAAATGAATTTTGAAAAAGAATTAAATTTGAAAATTGTTACGAAACAAAAATTTCAATTTTTTTATAAATTCTAAAAAATTTTGAAGTAGACATTTTCAAAAATATTATGTCTCGTGTTTATTTTCATCATTTTTTCATAAAATTAAACATACTTTGACTGAATTTTAAAAAGATTTTTGAAACGGATTATAAGTATGTGATTATGAAAGTAAATATTAGCATAATGCTTGGTGTTCTCTCTATAATCTAATCTTTTTAGAAAAAAAATAAAATCGATTAGTTGGATAGGAAAAAAAGAAAACAAATTAATCCGGAAAATTTTAATGCTCTTTCTCCTTTTTTTTTTTCAACAAGCTACTTTGAAAATTTTATCAAACATTTGGTTATTTGTCTTAGTAAATATTCATTTCATTTTTCATTAATCCATCTAAACGGCAAACGTTAAAGCATTAAATTATTTACGGATTTTATCATCCGAAATAGATATGCTCCGGTATTTCGGTTTCGGTTAATTAAAAAACTGATAACTGCGATGATAACATATATGCTTCATAAAATCATAAATGACAAAATAATTTCTTCATTTTTTTCAAAATCCAATTAAATTATGTTTAATTTCAGAGACAGAAAAGAAAAGAGAGAGAGAGAGAGAGAATTGACAAATTAATTATCAAAATTTAGAATTGGAAATTAATTTTAATTTTTTCTTTTTTTATTTTGAAATTTTATTATTTGGAACAAATAATATGCATGCAAATGCAAAATTATCAAACAAATAGAAAATAATAAATGCAATTTTATTTTAAGTGAAATTTAATATTAAAATGTAATTTAATTTTAATTCGAACCTTACAAAAATTATTTCAAATGCAAAATTTCGAATATAAAAAGGGCAAAGGTTAATTAGCATTAGCAGATGGTTTCTTTTATTGAGAGCTTTCTTTTTTTTCAATCCACAAGGGGAGGTGACACTATTAGGCGACCAAAGACTGAAAATGTAGCATAGATAATGAATGCATTTTGAATACGACTTAATGATCGATCAATACTTGACCCCTGCTGACCCTGCTGACCTAACATAATAAAGCGATAATTTTCGATACCGAAAATACCACCCAGGTGAAATTATTGTTTTCGTATGAACGTAGTTGTAAAGAATTGACTTACTTATAACATACTAACCTACTTTTAACTTAGGTAAAAAAGTTACCTGAATTCTAATTTAGAAATGTACTGAATTAGTAAACTTTCTAAGTTATAATGCATATTTATAACAGTTAAAATTGGTAATGTTTAGATAAATTAAATGAATTGAAAAATATATAAAAATTAGGCAAAGCTGAAAAATAAATGAATTATTTGATATTATAATAAAATTTTAGAAAAAAATTGAGCCTTTTTTCTCCATTTCTTTTTAAAAATTCTTATTTATACAATTTTTAATGTATATACATAATGGAAAGAGATATGAATTATATAAATTTCAAAAATTCAAGAAATTAAAGAAGTATATAATTTGTAATTTTATTTTTAAGTAACCAAAAAAATTATTTTTCTTTTATTTATCATTTATCTCCTTCTTTCTTCTCCTTTTCATTTAATTTCCTAAATTTTATAACAAAATTTTGGAAAAAAATTAAGTCTTTTTAAAAATTCTTACTTATACAATATTTAAATTTAGATACACATATTTTGTAATTTATAATATATAAATTTGTATGTAAAACTTGAAAAATATATGAATTTGGCAAAATGAATAATTTTAATTATGAAAATTTATGAAATAAGCAAAGCTAAGAAGACTTTACATGATGAATAATAAAATTTAAAATATGCAAATTAAGCCAAACTATTATTATTATAAATTAAACTAATATTATATGATAATTTTGTAAAAAAATTGCATTAAAAAGGAGAAAAAAAAGAGAGAAGAAATGATAGAAAAATGAATTATTAAACTTTTCAAATAGAAATTCATTTTTCTTTCTTTTTTTAAGAATAGAAAAAATATTGAAAGAGTGAAAATGAATGAATTATATAAATGCTTTATACTAACAGCTGCATTCAAATGGATTATTTTATTTGCCATTTTTGGTCAATGATAAGAAAAGAAAGTAAACAGACAGATTGTATGAATTGAATTATTAATTAAATCGATATAATGCAGAAATTATATTAAATATTGGAAATCATTTGCCACTATTTAAATTTTAAATTTGAATATTGTTATTAAATAAATAAATGTATATATGGTTTTTCTTTTGCTTTTAGTAGTTTCATATTTTTTGAAAAATTTATATTTAATTTTTTTTTCTTTGTTTTACTTTTGAAATTTTTGGAAAAAAAAAATGATGTAGAATTTTTCTTTTGTTAAAAGAAATTTTCAAAATGATTTAAATAAAAAAGTGAATCATTAAATTTGCATAATAAAATAGAATGAAAAAGAAAAAAGGAGAGAGAGAGAGAGAGAGAGAGAGAGAAGAGAAAAATAGAGAAATTTTTATTTTTAAATGAAATAATAAATTTGAAGAAATATAATTTCAGAAAAAAAATTTTTTTTTAAAATATAATAAAAATTTTGTGCATTACCGACATGTGTACACTTACACATACATACATACACACACATACACACACACGCACACATACATATGAATATGTGTAGTGTCATTTTACAGATAATAGAGTAAATAGATGGATGGATGATCTCAAACCGTCAATATTTACAATCTAAGATTTAATTGACAAATGGAATTGAAGGATATAAGTAGGAATTGAAATGGAAATTGAGAAAGAATATGAAAATAGTCGGATAGTTCAAATATAATATAATGGAATGAAAAGCATGACAAAAGGTCAAAAGATCAAGAAAGGTC